ATTTTATTGAAGTTTAATTCTATAGATTTACTTGCATGTAAATAGATATTTAATAAATTATTATATATGTAATAAATATTTATAACCAGAAGAATACATACAGGGCTATTCACCTCATACGACACGGAGTATTGTAGCCACACGATTAGATTATTAGAAATTTTGAATGGCGGGATCGTTGGAGGACTACTTAAGCTACAATTTAAAATTACTTTCAAAAGGTACAGAGTGTCCCAAATATATAAAAAATATCAAAGCTGTGATTTTTTAAATGGAACACATTGTATATTATTACATTTTTAGTTTGTACGATTAAAATAAAGGCAAATTTGATTAATATATACCGCACTTTAATCTTACCGTTTTTGAAATATTTACGATTTTGCGAAAATACAAAGTTTTCGTAGAAAATGCATTTTCTTCTAATTTAGACCTTATTTATCAGTATACCCATGGAATATTGACATTTTAAATTATTTTAAGATTTAAGATTTAACAAATTTTCGAAGAGTACAGATACTAATATTGGCGATAAAGTTTGCTTATTTCATTAAAAAAATAAAAAAAACTGTTTAAATATTTGTAAAAGATGACCAATTAATATGATTCCAGTATTCGAACTAAACTGACTACTAATTAACTGTTTGCGTTGATTAATTAAGAACTGAATTTTGCATTTGCATTAGACAGTGTTAAAAAGTAACACCTTATAAATTTTATTTAATTTTTGATGAATGCTTATTTATAACAACAGACGTTGTTATTCATAACTTATTAATATATTGATTTCTGATTCAAATCCACATTTATTCGTTTAGTTATCTTATTAATTTTATTATCTAATTAATTAATATTTGGGCGGAAATAATGGCGGTATATTTGTATATTTTATACAAATAACGTACATTTAAACGTTTATTCAAATAACGTAAACGTATTTAATCTAAAAAAATTGGTCAAGTGCGAGTCGGACTCGCGCACGAAGGGTTCCGTACCATTCATTATCTATATCTATACAACATTAGACACTATTATTATAAACTTTTTTTTCCGATTTAGCTGAAATTTTGAATGCGCGTATAAGTAATTTAAAAAAAATGAAGAAACATATTACTAAAAATTGTATTAATCAATAGTAAATATGTAAAAAGTAAAAATAAATATGTAAAAATTAAAAAAAAAACTATTAAAAAAAAGTCGCCTTGGCTAGGATTCGAACCTGCCTTACTACGGCTCCAACGTCATAGCAGCGTAAAGTCCTAACGCTTTAACCACGCGGCCACCGAGGACTTGAAAGATTCTATGTAATATTCTTACTCAAAAGATAATGTTTAGTGAAAGTACTTTTTTATTTATAAACATTTACTTAATTCTGTTTTCAGTATTTTTGTTCTGATAGCGGCAACATAGATACATTATCTGTAAAAATTTCAACTGTCTAGCTATAATGGTTCATAAGATAGACCTTTGTGACGGACGGACGGACGGACAGCGAAGTCCTAGTAATAGGGTTCCCGTTTTTACCCTTTGGGTACGGAACCCTAAAAACACTTAATGAAAATGCAGCTACATGGGAAAGAAAATGGGAAATGAACTTTATTAAATAGACAAAACGAAGTACCATTTATATTTAGTAGGTAAGTAAAAAAATACAATCTTGTTGCAAAAAAAATAAAATATAGCAAACACGGAAATATAACTAAGAATATCAATACCTAAAATAATTGATATTCTGTATAATATAAATAAAATATGATCTCTGAAAGACTAAAGTGTATTAGATTGGGGGATATTTGAGATTGGGGATACCAGTTTGGAAACCCTAATTATATGGATTACCATTATATATCAATACCAATGACCAACTGAAAGTCAAATCAGTCATATTAAGACACCGTCTTAGTTTCACTCAGAGTTTCACTAAATTAAATGATTTTCGTCTTTTTGTTCTAACGATTTAGGCTCTCGCCAAGATGGTAGGCTATTCACAGAGCTGAGGACCGTGGTTCGATATCTGTGTAAACAGAGTAGATTCGTGAGCATTTCCCTTGATAGAAAAATTGAGACGTTAGCTTAACTACTTTTTAACCATACAATTCAATTACAAATATTTTAATTATTTAACCATTAATTTTAAATTGACTTAATTTTATACACTATTAAAATCTAATAGTATACTTTATTTAGTGACCCCATTTCGTTTATTTTATAGTTCCCTTCATTTTATAAGCTCCTAACTGAGTGACATTTTATTTTATTTCATTATTTCCAGAATGCCTGGAAGAACTTCCTATAAATGGATCTCTTTGCGTCCATTTTATGGGTCTTTTACAGTTCCAAAAGCGTATTTACAGAAAATTGGGTTTATTTTCGCACGAAGTGTTATTTTTCGATTTTATATTTCACATAATCTCATTAAGTTAACATTTGAGTTTCTTTAAAGTAAGTTTACTTACGGGAATTATTAAGTTTGTTTGCTTCTGGAATAGTAATAGATAAATTAAATGAATTAGTCGAATAAGTTGTGTAATTTTATCAAATTCTCCTGAAAAAAAGCATTTTTCCATAGCAACTGTTAAAATTGTCTTATATCTAACAAAAAAAGTAGATAAAATAGTATTTTATCCGCAAAAGGGTAGATTAAATAATACTTTAACAGCGAGGATAGGTTAAAAACTTTATTTCTTCACGCACGTTTTTTAATTGCTTTCATTTTTGAAAATGTTTGTATTCCTTTTCATAAGTTATTCGGGATTTAAATGGAAGTAGTTTGGATATGGCGTTTGTCGCCTCAGCCTGAATATCTGTTGGTAGGTAATTTACTTATTTCGTTTCGATCCATTTCTGTCTCCAATTCAATCAGCAATCGACACGAAAGAGAATTAAAAAATATTAAATCAAAACTGACAACTAAAGAGACAGCTTGATTTATTTGTCAAATTACATAGAAACCAACGCCAACCCAGTACAATAATTTTTCTACTGGTAATAGATTCCTTGAAATAATAATTTCTGAATATTTTTTAAAACGTAACTCGCTATGGAAAAAAATATTGTTTTATACAAGACGATAAAATTGCATTATCGTCTCCCGAAATTAATTCACTCACGATTTCATCGCTCGTGAATTAATCTTTTCGGTCGACGATAAAATGGTATTTTATCGTCTTGTATAAAAAATAACTATTAGCTTCTGAAAAAGAAATCTAAAAATATACAGGGTGGCCTGAACTGTATTCCGGAAACTTCGGCAAAATATTCTGCAGATAAAAATAACTGAAAAAGTTCGTATAAATGATTTGGTTTGGTTAAAATGCTTAGTTTCGGAGATACAGGGTGTAGAAGTTTCATTTCTATTTCGATTTTTTTCAAATAATTTCTGAAGTAACGGCAATATTTGGATGAAAATTGGTGTCTGAGAGTTTTTTGACATGAGAAATTTGATTTAGATGTCAATATGACTCCTACCTGTAGAGGGCGCCACCTACATATTTTTAAACTGGTTTGAAGAGTAATTAACGTAAGAGTAAACAATTCTTCTCCATTGCGTTCTATTGTGCGCTGCTTCCTCCCATTGATTCTACTCTCTCTCTCTCTCTTATCCCAATGTTTTCGTGCAAAATATCTCTATATCTTTTGAGTTGTCCACCCGGTTTCCTTTTACCGCCTACAAGCGCACCGTAAAGAATAGATTTCGGTAGGCGGTTTTCTTGCATCCTGCATACGTGACCAGCCCATCTTAAGCGGGATTTAGTTATCATGACTTCCGCGCTAGCCTTTTCAAGGACCAATACGGTTGAGACATGATGGTACCATTTGATTCTTAACAGTTGTCTAAGGTGTCTCTGTTGCAACTTGTTTAATACGTTTATGTGTCGGTAGTACGGCACACAGGTTTTGCTTCCATATAACATGGAGGGGATTATTATTACTCGTTACACTGCAAGTTTCGTTTTTGTGCTCAAGTCATGATTGTAGACAAGACTTTAATATGCAAGAAATTTCAAAGACTTGCAAGATTTCTTGAAAGTTAGAAATGATACATTTTTTAAGTGATAATTAGGTCTTTGTGCAAGTTATGCTGGGTTTATACAACATTTACATAGTCGTAATCACAATCATAGTCATAACCATAAAAGTTAACTCTCCACTTCCTATAAACCTGTTGACATCTACCATGAACTTAGCCTTTAACTATGTTATCCAACTTCACTGATATAAAAAGATGTATAACTATAATAACTGATATATAAACTATACACGCACATTAAAATTGCGTTGTGATTATGACGATGATTAAGACTGTGATTATGATTACGACCTATGCAAATGTTGTATAAACCCGGCATTAATATTGACCAGTGTTCATTTTTTTTCTATCATAGCCAGTGATTTAGAGTTGAGAATGAAATAAAATAAAGTCGAGGCAACAAACCGTATATTGGTAATTGGTATTATACACAAAATTATATGGGTATAATCATCATCATCATCATCATTTAGCTTACACCGTCCACTGCTAAACAAAAGCCTCCCTTAACTCTAGCCATTTTCTTCTATTTTGTGCCACTTGAATCCAGTTTCCAGCCACCCTCTTAATGTCATCTGTCCATCGACTAGGAGGTCGTCCTCTGCTTCTATAGGCCTTTCCGTACACCCTGTATCCAAACTTTTCCAACCAATCTTCCAGAATAAAAAAATTAAATAAATACCATAAAAAATAAAAGTAACAAACGGGTAACCAAAATAGAATATAATAAACTAACAAGAATTAACAACTAGAACTAAAAAATGAACTTAACCTTACTTACACTGTAAAAAATCAGCCTGAGTGAACACATATTTCTCAGGGAGTTAATTTTCTGAGTGAAATAATTGAGTACATTTTCATCTAAAATAGAGTAAATTCATCATTTTACTCAAATATGATCTCTATTTAATCAATAGCGATTGAATAAGCTCATGTTCGAGTTATAACCCCTATCTATGAGTAATGGAATAGAGAAATTCACTTAAAAACTCATGTTATAGTTTAACACAATAAAAATTAGAGTGAAATCTCCCAGTTTAGAGTATTTTCGCTCATTAATAATCATACGTTATACGCGCTTTTTCGATACCGAATAAGCTATTCCCCTTTCCCCTGTTCCACAGTTTTTAATTATCTGTTCGAGTCCTAGGTGTCTTTTGTCTTGTCCAGTGTTGCCAGATGTAACATAATTATCGAATTGTAACATAATTTTGGAACAAAACTTTCCCAAAAACATCTGTACCATAATCGATAATTGTAAAATAATTTGGTAACCTGTTACAATTAATGTTTTATCAGCCATGAAATATATTTTTATGAGAAATAAATTAACTTTAAGGTAGTCAATGCAAAATGACTCAAGTGGTTTTATAGTTTAAAAAAATGGTAGCATCTAAAGCAGTAAATATCCGCGGCGGATTAAGTAATTCCGATTTAAAAATGCGGGTAGAAGAGAAACCAGACCCCAAAATATTATAAAACAGACTGAGAAAATACGTTTAATAGCTGGTTTAAACCTATTAAAAATAAGTTAAACCAACAAAAAATAGGATCGAAATTTATTGCTATCATTATATTTTTTAGAGAATTCGGTATACCGAGAATTCCCTCAGCCAAATATATCGCTTGTAACATAATTTTGTAATCAATTCGATAATTTGATCTACCTTGATCCATAATTTCATATCCGACACCTGGCATCCTGGCAAAGCTTCTCTTCGAACTTCGAAGGTGCCAAGGTCACAAGCCCATAGTGTGTGTGCATCGTGGCGTCGTGTGCATTGTGCAGGTGCATGTGTGTGTGTAACAGGCGTGTAGATACGTGAACGTAAACGACCGAAAAAACAATAACCCGTTATTAAATAGAATGATTTTCAAATTAAAACACGGGGACATTATTAAATGGTGCAAGGCACCGAAATTGGAAAACAAGGAGGAGTTTATGAATATCGGTAAGTATATAGACCACTTACTTAATTATGTTATTATATTTTAGGGCAGGGGTAGGGTATAGTATAGCTATCACATTTTTTCAGTGCTTTAGTTTTTTAGTTTCATGTTAAATGGGCACGTGGTCCATACACGATTTTTACATAATATATTTCTTCTGCCCCTATAATATCAGGGCCAGTTGATTATAACAAACACTAGTTTTTGCACCATATGAGTTTAATTAAGTTTTCGCAATCTTCGATCGAGCATGGCGCCTAAAATAAATTTAGTCTATGCATTCCTGAACTGGGGCTTTGCCATATAATATGGCGGTTGGCGGTATTTTACTACCTCGTAGTCCTCGTGTGAAGTAGGTATAGAATATTTTCCATTTTACTCAATATATGGTATTTAAAACTAAAAATGAGTTAAACAAATCAATATTGATTTTTTGTTCACTAAATTCGTTTTATTCACTCACTTAAGTTGAAATGAACTCAATATTAATTTGTTTTTGTCATAATTGAAAGCAATTAATCTATTTTGGAAGGAAATAATCAATTTTGTCACCGATGAAAATAGTGGTGGGTGCTATTTTCAAACTGTCTAAATACAGGGTGTCCATCTATAAACTGATACATTTTAATTGCTTATTAGTCGAAAACGAAAAATTATATCGACGTGCGGTTTTCACAGAACTTTATTATTTTCTATAAAGTTTTTTTACCAATGTTGCCAAGTTTCAAAATTTTCTTAAAATCAAGGAAAAAAATTATGATGATTTTCAAAGGCTGATTTATCAAAAATTTTAAATGTAATACCCTGTACTTTTTAATTTTACCTGACTACATGTACACCCTCCTTTCCAAAAATGTGTAAATTGTTTTCCATTTTATTCATTTTTTTTTGCCCGAAGCCAATTTTACATAGATCAAATCGTGGAATAATATTCTTTATAGACATGGCAACAGCGCAAATCATTTAGTTATGGTCAAGTTGAAGCTATGCATAGGAAATTACTATAAAATTTTCTTCAATTCTTGATTATCAAAATTTTCAAAAAAGGGTCATTTACTAAAATTGGCTCTGGACAAAAATGAGAAACAATTTATACTTTTTCGGAAAGGAGAGTTAACAGGCTTTCATTTAAAATTAAAAAATACAGGGTATAACATTTAACATTTTTGCTAAATCGATCTTTAAAAATCACCTGAATTTTTTTTCCTATTTTAAGTAAATTTTGAAACTTCGCAACACTCGTAAAAACCTTTAAAAATAATGATAAAGTTCTGTGATTCTGTGAAAACCGCACATCGATATCATTTTTCGTTTTCGACTTATAGGCGGTTGAAATGTGTCAGCATATAAATGGACACCCTGTATTTGCTCCACTGTTCATTTTAGAGCAGTCATATTGAGACTTTTCAAAGGTCTCCGTATGGTTAATACACATGTCAAATTTCAACTGTTTTGGGAAAGCCAATCTCAAGTTATTTAAAGAAAATTGTAACTTATTTTTTATTAAAATTATCAGGTCTCTGAAAACACCAGTAGAAATAAACTTGTCAATCTATAATGTTCTTAATTTCAATTTAAATTCGATAATTTTTACAAATATTTTACTACCTATTTGGAAGTAGGTACCTGCTGTTTTAGCAACTTTACGTATGCGACTTCTTGAACACCCGAATAAGATTAGGTTAGAAATTTGCAAGGAGTATTATATTATTTTTTAACATGACATGTCAAATTGTGATTAATAAATTAACATTCATTTTGGTTAGTAATTTCTTGTTTCATTTGATTTTATGATTATTAGATAAGTATGGGGTTATTCTAAATGGGTATAAAAAATACTTTATTAATAATTTATTGTTACTATGAGTTAAACAATAAAAGAAAAAGTGACCTTGAAAAAATGGTAGACTTAGATGTTGAATCTTATTTTTTTTTCTAAATTCACTTTTAATCCCTAAAGTGCATAAAAGATCTTTTTGTCCTGCTTTGAAATATATATATATATATATATATATATATATATATATATATATATATATATATATATATATATATATATATATATATATATATATATATATATATATATATATATATATATATATATATATATAGGTACTTTGTTGGCATTTGTTTTAGCCACTTTTGAAATATTTGAGTTTAAAGTTGTATTGTATTACACTAAAATTACCGAAAATTATATAGTAACACAACCTAACTTCTAACTCAAATATTTCAAAAGTGGCTGGAGCAAATACAACAAAGTATATATATTTGAATTCAGGACAAAAAAATCTTTTATTTTGGCTTATAATATACAGGGTGTTCCATTTAAAAATATATAATGTAGGCTTATATCTCAGAAAATTGATAGTTTTTTGTTTTCTGTGAAACTTCAAAAAAAAACTTGACCGCCAACCCTTCATTTTGTTTTTTTGTTTACCTTGATATCTTTAAAAATAAAAAAGTTACAGCGAATTAAAATGTTATCAAGATAAATTGAACCCACGGTAACACAAGTAAAGTCAGAAATAAATCTCGGTTCTGTCCTCCCCGTAAAATTCTATATACAGGGTGTCCCACTTAAGATGGATACAAGCCAATATCTTGGTTGTTTGTTGAGCGATCTTTTTCATTTTTGGCAGGAGGCTGTATGGCTATAAGACGTACATTTTGTCCAGGGTAAGAAATGCGATACCTCATAGACGTACGTTTTAATGGGTTTTGATATTTTTCGAGTCAAGAGTAAACTACCCTTAGGACAGTATTTATTTCAAATCTGATAAATTATATTGAATCCTCCTTACCCAAGATACTTAAGTTCTAATTTTTATAAATATTGATACAGGGTGTGTCATTAAAATAAGACATTTTTATTTTTATTAGTATTTTTTTAAGTACTTACGACGCCACTGGCCACAAAAACACTAAATATGTACTTTCAATTTATTTTGTTTACTTTAAAAAATTGTTTTTTAAGTTTGCTAATACAAATGAATAAAATGAGTTACAAAATAATTTAAAAACCCAGTTTTCAATAGAATCTCAAATATGATTTTTATTCGTTTTATTGAGACATATTTTAAAAAATCCAAATAGTTAGATATTTAAAACAATCACTATTAACTTTGAAAAATATGCTCTAAACAAAGTTTTTTTGTATCGTATTTTAATAATTATTATGGAAGCTATCTGAAAACTTAAATCGATTGTTAATTGATAATTGGTTATTGATAATAAACCAGTTGTTTACCCAGTGGCGTCGTAAGTACTTAAAAAAATAATAATAAAAATAAAAATGTCTTATTTTAATAACACACCCTGTATCAATATTTATGAAAATTAGAACTTAAGTATCTTGGGTAAGGAGGATTCAATATAATTTATCATATTTGAAATAAATACTGTCCTAAGGGTAGTTTCCTCTTGACTCGAAAAATATCAAACCCCATTAAAACGTACGTCTATGAGGTATCCCATTTCTTACCCTGGGCAAAATGTACGTCTTATAGCCATACAGCCTCCTGCCAAAAATGAAAAATATCGCTCAACAAATAACCAAGATATTGGCTTGTATCCATCTTAAGTGGGACACTCTGTATATATATGTATATATGTATTTTATCATAGTTATCATAGTTTCCACAAAAAATTTCAGTGTATAGTTTATTAAGTGAGTCCCCTTTTAATAAACTGTAAGTTGACTAAATTAATATTAATTTTCAAGTTAATTACAGGCTGTCTCAACAATACATTAAACCAGTGAAGTCTCTCTTCCATACTTATTTTGTCAAAATATTTTCAGTATATACAAAATTTCCCCAACTGCAAGGGAAGACATTAACCTTCGTAGACAAAGATGGAATTGAACTTGAAGAAGACTTTTTATTTGATTACCTGCTTTCTTCCAATGAACAATTAATTCAAGTCATATTAACTGAGAAAAACGAATTCATTAATTTGGGTGAGTAGGATATACCTAATATTTTTTCTGCTTTGTTCATATTCATTTAATATAAATATGTGTGCCATTACAGATACTTTCTCCAGAAACACAAGAATTACAGGGTCAGTTAGAAGTGATTTTTCTAAAATTCAATCGTTATTTAAAATACGATGTGTAATAAGACTTTGTTTTCCACAGAAAGAGCATCAAAATCATACTGGACTGGAGCATCTACTTGTACAACCATAACAGAGGATGTCAGTTCTCAATCAGGAACATCAACTTCAAGTTTTATTATAGATGACAGCAACATTTTAAGGCTAATAGATACTAATGCTATATTGACAGCGCCTACTGATCAAACACCACCAGTGATAACAAATGAAATTCCAGCAATTCGGGCACCGGGAAAGAATATTTCATCTCAGGTAACTATAAAAAATTACCCTGTTTATAATTTTTATTTTGTACCTATATACAGGGTGATTCAGATTTTACTAGAATAACTGCAGGTATTGATAGAACTAACCGAAATAATGATAGTTTGTATTATAAACCATACTCCAAAAACGCTTCCGCTTGGAGTAAAATGGCGCCAAAATTTGAATTATTTTTCGGTTTTTATTTTATTACTCGTAAGCCAGAGGATCTAAATACGCAAGTGTTTGGTTAAATACTAAGGACAATGTGGCTGATATGTGTGAAAAAATTGGATTAATCGCTATACAGGGTGTTGTTTCTGTGAGTGTCAACTGCACGGAACCTTGTCGAACTTTTTTGTCGCACGCCACTGGATAAATTTGTATTTTTTTCTGATACCTTCCGTCTTTTTACTAACTTTTCTTGTTCTTAAATTTTTTTGATATGTCGCTCAGTTTTCGAGATATTCCACAAAATTCCGGACATAGCTCAGCTGCGTTCGAAAAATGTTACTTAATTAGCAGCATGCCATATGAAAAATAATTCAAATTTTAGCGCCATTTTACTCCAAGCGGAAGCGTTTTTGGAGTACGGTTTATAATACAAACTATCATTATTTCGGTTAGTTCTATCGATACCTGAAGTTATTCTAGTAAAATCTGAATCACCCTATATAGGTAGTTTTGACAAAAAAATATATATTTTAGGAGCTACGAGAACTGTTGGAAAACAGGAATTGTAAGACAGTTTTTATGGAATATGAAAAATTAAATTTTTTAACAACTTCTACAAGAAAAATCCTTGTTAATATGGTGGTTGACATTATGTTCGAGCGACATGGTTACAACGTGCCTACGCACATTAAAACAGAATACGCTAAGGCGATTGTGGATGTATTTCCAAAACTAAAGGATCCTTGCAGTCCTGGAGGATATGTAAGTACCTAGTTATGCATCATATTTTATTGTTAATTACTTTCCAATTTTCTCTGAAATAAAACAAAATCGAAATAATCTGTGATTTTCTGATGTAGCTATATACCTACATGGTGTCTCTGTCTGATAACATACCAATATTCAAGGGGGTATTCAAGGTCATTTTATGGAAAAAAGTATACATATTTTTTTCCACTTCCAACATTTCTGTATCATGGAAACAGTGTTTTTTTATAGGAACTTTTTTCCATAAAATGACCTGAGGAATCACCCCCTTGAATATTATCATGCATGTTATATTAGGGGACACCCTGTAGATAGCAACCTTGATAGCTATACCATTTTTTTTTCAGGAAGCATTCTTCAATCCTGATAAACACGAGGGCTTCTTAGCCTGGAGGATAAAAACCGTTCTAAAATCTACACCATCTTTAAAAAGAACTCGTAAAAGGAAGGGTCCCCAGGACTTGACAGAAAATCCAGTCGTCCCCGAAAAAAAAAGTAATTGTGACATTGAAGAAACCATAGATTTTTTAAATAATTGCGATCCAAGGAACGACAGGGAAGTTATTTTCGAAAAAATGCAGCTTTCATTCGAGCAAAGGCGGGATAATCCTGATATCGCCGCACGTTTTCTGCGGTTTTTTGATACTCCTGGACTTGTAAGAGCCAGCAAAAATTGTTATATAGATTTTTATTAATTAGGATAAATTTATTTTTTACAGCTTGAACAAGACTTTTCGCTGCTATATCCAGGAAAACCTACACTTTCGGAGTGCCTACCGCTGTATATAGACCGAATACTTGAAGTATATGAAGCGATTACGCCACAGTCATCCTTAGCATCCCACATTGCCCTCCCTAGCGATAGTGATGAAATGGATGGTAAGAAACTTTAGTGATTTCCATCATCTGAAATTTGAATCGAATTATTCTTGCATTAAAAATGAAAACTATTTTAGCAATATTTTTATAATAATATTAAGCATTTTATATTTCTATTGTAGTATGGAACCAAGAAACCCGAGCTTTGTTAGCTATCTTGTATATGTTACCACCTTCTGCAAAGGGAAAGAAAGGACGAATCAATGATACCTTGGCCACTGCCGAAAAAAAGCTTTTACAGTTTAAGCAGGTATCTAATATGAACATACACTGAAAACTGCTATATTCAAACTAATGTAGTACAATTTTCATTTTCTTAAAATCTATCTTTCTACTTTTTCTAATACTTAATGTTTGCACATTTCGATCAAAGTTTGCGAAAATATTTTATTCATGAAATTTTCCGTGGTACATGGAAGTTCATTAAAATTGGGTTTTATTTTCAGATTAACATTCCACTAAGTGAAATTATTGAAGTTGTACCTGGCAGCCCACCTTTCCTCATCGCAGAAGGGGAAAGCAAATGCGCTGTCGGTAAATTTCACATTTACCTAGATGGAAGGTTAATTCCATGTAAAGATGGGTACACGTTCTTGGAGGCTTTTGATGCACTGTTCATGGCATACTATGTGTTCAACTTAAAATACGACGAGTCGCTGCATCCCTTCTTCACCTTCTTGGAGAGCTTTTTTTATAAAATCGGAGACGAGAAAAAGCTAACGCCAAAACTGCGGGAGTTACGGTCGAGACTGACCGTATAATACATTTATTTATTTATAAACTAGTTTTAATCGTTAATTTTTTCATGACTTTATTACCGTTTTTGATCTCGCGACGTGCCTTCCCGTGTGATCTTTTTGAAGACTGATAATATATTTTGAAGTATTTATCTATATATTTTTCGGCAAGCAAGTTATATTTAAGTGCGTTATTTATTTTGTTTGTGTACCTGATGTACGTTTTTTATTTTTTTAGAATTATTTCTCGGTTTATTTTTTATAATACTGACTGATTATAACTTGGACGTACAACTATTGCAATCATGTTGAACTGTTATTTGTGCAATACCTCATATATGTCAATGAAACCATTATTTGCGCATTTGCGAATTAAGCATGGGCTACGGGAAGATCCACTTCTAAACTTAAAATGTTGTGTGAAGAGTTGTTTCTTGAACTTCAAAACTTACAGCGGATTAAGAAAACATCTGCTTAAGCATATGGAACTGAGTAATATTGAAACCGATGATAGTTCGGACTTGGACATTAATCAACCAAGTACCTCGTTTAATGAGGCTTGTATTAACGAAAGTATTGAGGATTGTGAAAGTGATGGCAAAAAACTCGAAAATTATGAAATTGATAGCGAGAATATTAGTTACCATTTCTCAAATTTTATGTATACAATACTTTCGTTACCAATTTCTTTAAGCGATAAGCAGTGTATATTTACGTCATCTTCTGAGTTTCTTCAATCCATCTTAGAGTTAACCGAGTCCGAAATAATAAAAAGCCAATCGAATACTTCTGATGCTTCAAAAATAATTAATAGGAACAAAACTTTACTGCAAACTGAATTCAGAAATTGCAGTAGTATTTACAAAATCACAAAACACTTACAATACAATATGATTAAGCCTAAACAAATAGTCATAGGTCACCGAAATGAGCAGAAACTTAACAAAGATGGCAAATATTACCAACATGTAGTTCCCAGTACCTTCGTTTACGTTCCTATTTTGGAAACCTTAAAACACCTTCTGAATAAAAATAGCATATTAAAAAGCTATCTAGAGTCCGCAAAAAATAATTCGGAATATCTTTATGGCATAAGTGATGGATGTTATGCCAAGGGTATATATGAATTAATGGCTAAGAAATACGTCATCGAAATTCAGATATATTTTGATGAATTTGAAACAACGAATCCAATTGGATCAAAGACAGGCATTCATAAAATGGGAGCTTTCTATTTTACCCTCACAAACGTTCCACAATATCTTAATTCAAATCTGAATAATATCTTTCTTCTTGCTTTAGCTTATACAGCTGATATTAAACAATATAACGTGAACTCTGTATTGAAGCCTATTATTGATGATATCAAAATTTTAGAGAAAGATGGAATTTTTATCGATGTTTTATCTGATAAAGTATATGGAACCATTTTTTCTTTATCTCACGACAATTTAGGTGCTAATTTGTTACACGGTATGGTAGAATCATTTTCAGCAACTTATTTTTGTCGAGTTTGCATGATGACTAAAGCTGAGACCCAAACTAGTACTTTAGAAAATCCTAATATGTTAAGGAACAATGATTTATACAAATTACATTGTAACGAGTCTGTTGACGGAAATACATCATACGGAATTAAACGAAGTATAGTTTTAGACGATTTGATGTATTTCAAATTATATAATTCAATATCAGTTGATGTGATGCATGATTTACTAGAAGGTGCGGTTCAGATGGAAATTAAATTGATTCTGAATTATTTTATTGAAAAAAAATTCATTACTTTAGAAAATATTAACAATCGAATAAAATCGTTCAATTACGGAATATTACATGCAACTGATAGACCTAGCATTGTAATGTTGGATAAATCAGGGCATTCTATAGGGCAAAAAGCTTGTCAAACTTGGTGCCTTATGAGATTTTTGCCCTTAATTTTATTTGATATTATTGAGAGCAATCCTTCCGAAGAATGGAATGTTATTGTTCTTCTAATGAAAATTACAGGCATTGTTCTTGCACCAAGAATAAATTTGACAATGATTTCAGAATTAAAGCTTTTAATTTCAGATCACCATCAAAAATTTCAAGCTTGTTTTAAACAAAAATTATTGCCGAAACATCATTTTATGACCCATTATCCTCGAATTATTAATATGTTTGGACCATTAATTAATTTGTGGTGTATGAGATATGAAGCAAAACACGGTTACTTCAAAAATTTGGCTGCAAAGTACAGAAATTACAAAAATTTAGCAGTAACTTTGGCAAATCGACATCAAGAAATGTTTTCAAACGTTCAATATTGTTATAATCAGGGTCTTGAGTGTGGTCCCCTTCAGCAAATTGAATTTAAAAGTTACTGCTATAAAGATATTATAATAAATCAATTGGAAATTTTTGAAGATAATTTTCTGCTTAAGATTCCGTCGTGGGCAAAATTAGGGTTTTTCTATAAACGTCGGTTTTTCATTTATGACCATCAAAATAATAATCTACCAGTTTTCAATGAAATTATCGATATCGTTTTAATCGACAGCTCATTATTTTTTGTCTGTCAGGAATGGCAGACGTTGAAAGTAGTTGAGAACTTGTGTAGTTTTGAAGTTCAGAGAAACAACTCTTCTCCCTTGAAATTTGTTTGTTTGAATTCTTGTTATTATAAAGAACCTTTTGAAGTGCATCAGCCTTATGGTTCCCAACAAACCATCATAACTCCTAAATATGTTTTATGTTAAGAACATTTTTTTCACATCGCAGAAATCCGCCCAACATAGCATAGATTCAAGCCGACGAATGCTCTTAATAAAGCGGGTTTTTGCGATGTGATGCAACTTTTCTAAAAGTATTTCCAAAAAGAGTTTTGGTTTTGTTTTTGTCAAATAAAAATATTTTTGAAGGTTCTACCGTTTTTCATTTGGTTTGAAAAAACGAAATATTCTAAATTATTTTTTTATAAAAGCTATATGTAAGCTAACTTGTTATTTTATCACAAGTGAACAGATGCCTCCCAAAAGTGAATTTTAGGAAATGGACATGTTCGAGACCATGTCCTAAACTGAAACTTACCTTTGAAAGGCACCTGCCCACCTGTTATAAAATAACAAGTTAGCTTACATATAGCTTTTAAAAAAATCATTTAAAATATATTTCTCAATACTGAGTGAAATTGATACTCAGATATGAGTACTAATCGAGTTAAGTGTAACACAAATTTGAGTAAAAGTCACTCAATAAAAGGTGTACTTGAACTCAACTCTTAGTGAGTTCACTCATTTTAAAGTGAATAAATTATCAAAATCGATCAAAATCCTACTCAAGGTGAACCACAATGAGTAAAAAAGGAGTCTTTCGTCCATCCCGATTGAGTGAAAACAACTCAACACGTAGTGAGTTCACTCTTTTTTAAGTGAATGAATACTCAAAATCCTACTCAAAGTGGACTGTTTTAAGTAAAAAGGGAGTCCTTCGTCTAATCTCGATTGAGTGAAAACACTCAGTGCTTTTCACTCTGAGAATTGAAAATTCACTCAGTGAAATTTCACTCAATCGGGTGTGGACAGAAATTGAGAAAGTATTGAGTGAAATCTGAGTGAAATTTCACTCATTTTTTTTTACAGTGTACAGTTTAAATTTGACCAAAATTTTCTCTGTTGTGTTTTTTTGCATCTGAGTGTCGATTGTATATAAGTGTCGACCGTCTTTCAAAAATATTTTAACTGCTTTATCCTTGCCAGTTGCAGAAGAAGCTTTTTGATGAAGCAATCGTTAAAATATATTCGTAACTATTGGGATCGTAAGGAATGTTGGTGTCTGTGTTACAGAGACGCCACATCATACGGAAATCAAACAATTTTTCAGAAGTGTCTGTAAGGCTAAAGACAAAGTGTTAAAAATATGTACGGCGTACAATATTGTTGCACCTGTCGATTTTTAAGTTTGCATGATAATATTGCATGTACGTATTTGACAAGAAAATCTATGTGTATTATTTATTTTTTCCTTTTTTTTGCATATGAATTAATAAAGTAATGCAAAGAAAATCCATTTTTCTGTGTTGTGTATTAGGCCCTTTTTGACACAAAATATTTTGCTCTTTCAGCCAAAAGCAAAAAATCTAATTAGCAACAAAAATAAAGCAAATATATTTCTTAAAAATACAAATTTATGAATTAGTCCCATCGATGCCCATAGCCCCGTGATTAATAAGCACTTCGAATTATTTAGTATCAAATGACAGCGATAAGGTAAAATTACTTTGATACTTTGATATCAATCGGTTTTTCAAAATTAAAAAGTATTAATTATTTTAGCTACTAAAGAGCGCAACAGTTTATCAAGAAGGCAACTTTATATCTGCAGTACCATATAAACAATGATATAGCGTCAAACTTTATGGAACAAGCGTCTTTTATCAGCCCTGTTGTTTAACAGTCTTCAAGAGCCCTGTACCAGTAATATTAATCGTGGAAAGTTAACAATTCCTGAAAAAAGAACCGCCTCGAGATGGAGGCAACCAAACGCAGAACTGCAAAAGAAGGTTAAGGTAAAGTACGAAGAAATATAGGATATGCCTATAAAAACATGAAAGGAGATATCGTAAAACACAGAAGTTCAGAAGAAGTATGTACTTGTAAGAGGAGATGTCGAGAGCAGCATATTTCATTCATTTTGGAACCTACCAAGCTACGAGAAACAAACCACCTAAGTATCTATTTTCGAGTTTGAAAGTGTTACCAACTATGTTGTAAGAAGAAGACTAAGAGATAAGAGTCAGCAAAAAAGTGTACAGTTGAGTAGGTACATTCGGTCTTCCGGTGTACCGATATCGGGACAGGTTTTTTTAAACATTCCGATACCGGTATCGTCTTTTACAAAACTGAAATACCGGTTTTGGTACCGGTACCGGAAAACCGTTATCGGAATACCGGTTTAAATCGGTCCCGAAAAACTAGTTTCAATCGATACCGGAAGACCGGTTTCAATCAGTACAGAAAACTAGCTTCATGATAATATCGAAATCAAAAAACATGTAAAAAACGATTTGTCAACAGAACAAACAGAACTGTCACAAGACTCTGATAATGTAAAGTTGCTGACACAGGCTCACATAAGTTTACTCTGTCACCTTTGATGGTGCTCGAGTCAACATGGCTATGTGCAGACAAAGTAATGGGAGCGAATGTTGACTATTACAGTAATAGTTTTCAACCATGGTTTCTTAATCTAGTTAGGGTCAACTGGAGTAAATGTAAATTGGGGTTAAAAGTAAACACGGCTATTTTCATATTTAAATTTCGCGCCTGGCGCCAAATTTTTTATTGACAACTTCCGATTCCTTTAGAATGCCCCGCCATTAAGAAGGGACGCGTGCAATTAAAATTTCAGTTTTAAACAAGTGGTCACTGAAACACGTGCATTTTGTTGGGTTTAGTAAGTGAAATAACGACATATATTGTGCTTTAACTGGCTTTCTCGAAGATAAGTTGTTCTACATTTCGATTATTATGGCTTATTAGATATATATTTTTAAAACTTTACCTTTTTTTTTAAATTAAACATCCAATTTTTAACAAAATAATAATATTGTTACGTTTTTCGTCGGTTCCGTGTGGAAAATCACAATTTATTTAAACACAATTTATTTAACACTAATTAACAAAACAATAACGATTAAAAGACTCGAAAATATTTCATTTTCTGTGGTTAAATTATTCGAGCAAAAAAATTCCGTTCTATTTTACACGACGCGACGCCAAGGGCAGAAAATTTTATATTAATATTATATTAACGTACAGTAAATACCAGATTGGTAATTTATGCCCACTCGTGGCGGCAGCATAGGCGGCTGTACAGAATATAATTAAATAAACTACTCAAAACAATTATCGCATATTTTCTAAAAGAAAATATTAATTTGAAAAACAATATACTTTGAATTCCCCGACTACGGTTTTAAATAGTTTGGATATTCTATGAAGCAGTGGCGCCTTGTCAGGGTAGGCAAGGTTAGGCGGCGCCTACCCTACAATTTTGTCAGAATTTAAGCGGTTTATTACATTACACTATTTACTATTAATGTTGCTAATACACAAAAATACTGTTAATACACGGTAGTCTGTTGTAATAATCAATATTAATTTAATATTTTTGGTCTTGTATATTAAAATAATCAATGCCGCTGGCGTACAAAGACAAAATAATTTTGACCGTTGCAGTATATTTCACACGCCTTTGTTCGGCGATTTCTATATGGCCTGTTATCAGAGTCGATGCACGACATACGGCAATCTTCTGTATGCTTCTATCTCTATCTAGCTCAGTTGCCGCGATTAGAAAGTCTTAAAAACTACTTGCAAAATTCCATAACACTAAGTGGATGATCGCCAGTAGCCACTCTTCCCACATTTCCAAAATTAAATTAAAAGAAAAAAAAAAACTTATCTATTATAAAAATATCCCAATAGAGGATCAATATAATTGCAAAGCTTTCTTTTTTTTTTCATTTTACCAGTCCTAAAACTGCCCTTAACACTACACTTAACTTCACTACAATTCTTAACAACACTAGAACTTTGATGCCACCTGAGGATCCAAACTTCCAAAATCCCTCAAATATTGAACCATACTCACAGCTCACAGAGTTTACACTTGATAACGGTAAGCGATCCTTCTGACCGAAATGTTGGGTTAATCAAAATAAAGAAAGACAATGGAAGTCCGAAATTCTTTTGCTTTCAATATACTCACAAAGGTTCGAGCATTCGTGATCTGTCTATTCGAATACTCTTCGGAATAAAGCCTCTTAGCTTCCGCAGCCCTTTTACCTGCCAGGAGGAAGTATGCAATATTCACACTTTAGGTAGAGTTTAGAAGCATATCCACCTTCTTCGGATTTGTATAGGCCATCGCGATTTACCGATACCGATACCGATTACCGACACAAAAATATGCACTAACGAACATTTTAAAGACAATCGCCGATAACTTTCTGGAGTTTTAAAAGCTCGATACTATTAGAACGATTTCTGATAGTCGAACGTGCTGATCACAAATCTTATTTATTAACCAAACCAAAATTTAACTCAAATCGATCAACCAGCGACATCTATAGAATAACGGATTAAGCTTTTTTGTGAACGGACAATCGGCACTGTGGCGCGCAAGGCAAGTCGTATTAGAGCAGTAGAGGGCTCTACTGCTCTTAACGGTATTTACGATTTCTCGGGGTTCCCAAAATCATTTAAAGAATGTAAACAATCCAAAATCAACGTATGTTGTACGTGTATTCGTGTATCGTGCGTGTATCGCGTAAAGTTTTGGCACTTTTGGTGTAAAATCATTAATTTTCTTTAGTGGGGGAGTTCAGTAGAGATTTTAAGTAGTTATTAAAGCAAGTTTTTAACACTTTTTCTTGTATTTGTGAGTTTAGTGTTTAATGTGAAACATTTTAAATAATATTTTGCAAGTGATAGATTTGTGATGTTCAGATTATTAGATATTTGAGATGTATATGTAATGGTATATGTTGGATAAAAATACTGATCAAATTTCATCAAATGGGTAAGCTAACAAATGGGTAAGCTCTAACTTAATATTTAAAGATTATAATTGTTGATTGAAACGATTGAAAAAATTCTAATATGGCGAAAAAGAAGCTCTTATAATTTATTTTTTCAGCCTACTCAACTGTAAAAAGTACTTAAAACATTGCGCATTTTCCTAAAATTAGTATTAGCAATGTCCACTAATATGAATAAATTTAGTTTTCGTATTTTTCTATAGAAACTTACGGTGGGTTGATACAACATAATCGTAATCATAATCACAATTTTAGTCACAATCATAACAGTTAAAACCATTATTTTAGATACGACCGTTTATACATCGCAGGCGTAATCATAAGCATAATTTAATAACCTTGAAGTTCGTAAATTTTAACTTTTTTGATTGTGATTACGACAAAAATCGGTTAGGGGGCATTATTTCTTTATTTTTTTTTCATTTTTATGTTTAATAATTATGATAATTTTCGTGTTTAAAAAACCTGAGTAATAAAATTTAAACAAAAATACACTTCTAAAATGATTATGAAATAGAAAAATAAGAAAATTAGGTTACTTTATCAGCTGTATTTACATTTCAAGTTATGCCACTATGTTGTATAAACGCATATTAAAATTGTGATTGTGAGTGTGCTTATGCTTAAGACAAAAATTATGATTATGATTACTACTATATTGTAGCCCATTAACATTATTACTGTGAATTTATAAACCTTTCGAATGTGGGTATGATATTAAGTGGCAATATTGCATTCTCTCCGAGATTCTCTCTATGCACGGTAAACGAATTTCCGGAGGGTGAACAGTGGCACTCAAAAGTTTTTCAAAATTTTCCGGAAAATGTCAAGAAAAATATAAAATTTTCAACATTTTTTTTTCGCAAAAAAACCTCATAGGCGTGTTTCTGGGGTTGAACTATACTACCAGTTAAAATATTTGCATTCATTTCTGGGACACCCTGTATATGTATATGAATAAGAGTATCTGTTTTTCTTTGTAAATGTCATTGTCTATATACTTACGAATTTTTATGCTTGCGTAAATAAAATAAAATAAAATCCTATGATGTACTCTATAGTATTATTATCTACCTTATTTATCAAAGTCCTTAAAAATTAGCATCTGAGGAGATAAAAAAACTTATACTTGTACATTATGCCAATCATTATGTCATTACGTTGAATGCTGCTATTTTTGCTTTAGTTTTGTCCTAAACATTCTTGAGCTATGTTTTTAACCTAGAGATAACATACATTTACGAACTGGATTCGGGTATTAGGTAAATTTAGGGGGAGGGGGGGACAAATAGATGCAACTAAAAACTTATCGCCTACGCAATCCCACGGGTCACGAGCTGCCACTGCTGTGAAGGGAAATTCCAAACAATAAGCCTACGCGGTGACCTGTAATTTTTAGTCTGCCGACTATTTAGTGACTAAGTCCGTCGGCCTCGGCGGCCTCGACGGCCAACGGCTGTTTCTCGAAATAGG